AAACTCCACGTGAAATTCATACCGCATACCATGCACCGCTATAAACTCCACGTGAACCTGCTTCACTTAAATGGAGCGTGTGTGTAATGAAACCAGATAGGAAAGCACTCAGCCTCACCAATAACTACGGAAATGCAAACGAAAGCCAAATGCAGTATCGTTTAGTTGCCTGGACGGCATGACCGCAATCCCGTCACCAGGCCTTAGCAAATGAAACATCTCCTTCTGCAGCAGCCAAGCAAGGCTCTCCTCAGGAGGCTCTTGGGAAAAGCGCCTCGGAGGCGTGGACAGCGCACTCGCAGCCACCGTCTGTGACAACGCACCAGTCCAGCAGGGGAGGACCGAAAGGAGCTCCTCACGAGGAAGGGGAGGCCCAGCCATGCCTGTCCGCACCGAGGAGTCTAAAAGCACTGTCGGGGCAAAAGCAATGCCAGAGACTTTGCAAAGTACAAGCGCCCGTAAATAAACTTTAAACCGCACACTAAGCAATGCGGTGTTTACACACATCTGCGCGGTGAGACTCAAGAACAGCGAGGACACGTCTTATGCAAGATGCAGGACGAAGGTGCCCTCAGGTGGTTGAGGGCATCGCTGTGAGGGGTACCAGGGCTCTGAAAGCATGCTGGTCCACCACAGGCCAAAGGTGGGCTGCTTTTTATTACTCACTGAACCTTGTCTAAAGGGCACAAGCTTGCTTTTTCACGTTACGTACAGGAGGCAGGGACGTCCCATGCTCCACAACACCATTATGTGGGGTTGTGCCTTCGGAAGGGGACCCAGTGACCTGCTAATCCTCAGAGAACTGGCCTGACCCTGCCTCGCGTTCATGAGACTGATGGACAGGTGCCTGCAGAGTCACTTCCCCGCCAGCGAGCACGTCTGGAATACCGGTTTTGCTTCCTCACTTGCAGCCATTTCAGTTAGCAAGAAAAGCCGGACACAGTTTGCTGTCTTGGGCAAGATGCCCATGCCATGAGTTACTGCCCCTCATCTACCACCTAGTCCTAACGCTTACTCTAAGGCCACCAGCAAAGTGGTCATGACCTTAGTCTCAGGTTGAACAATGTCATCTAAATGTACTCTGAGAAATCAGTGTATTCTGTAGCAAAGGTGTTTTTCAGTATTGGCGTATGTTTACCGGGGATGCTCAACAGAACCAGGTATTAACACATCTTTTCAGGTTTCTAAACTCTGTAGATGGTAGTTTGCCTTCTGGGCCATTTAACAAGAGTACAACAAGGCTGACCCCGAGCCGTGAGCCCTTCTCGAGGACAGAATTACAGGAAAAGTTCAAACAGTCCTCTCAACGCTCGGGCCGGAAGTGCCTTCCAGGGTCACGTACACAGCACGGAGAAACTGGTGTGTCTTTGCCTGTCATCTTTTTCTCTAACAGCCCATGACAGCAGACGTGAGATTTAGAGTATTTTTAAAAATTGAAACTGAAAAGAACGTGAAGCCATCCAGCCACCTGAAGCAGTTGATTCCGCAACCCCTCGTGGTTGGATAAAACTTGATCCCAGCCGACGGCAGCTTGAAGAAACCCGAACGAAACCTATGGGGCCTCTGCAGCCTCATGCGGGGAAGAAATCCTCCCCCGTGCCATCATCTATGTAGTGTGCACAGCGCGCAGGGGTGGGCAGGTTGCCGAGGCCACCAGCAGCCCAGACAGCTACAGACACTCAGCGGACAGGCCCAAACCCTGGGGGCTAACCCCACCAGAAAAGCGCGTTATTAAAGGGATGCGTGCGTTTTTCTCTACCTTTAGAAGACACTGCTGACACCAAAGACCTAGTATCTGAACACTTTACACACGCCTAATTTGAATTTAAAATAAATCTCCTACCCCAGATCCCTCTGCTTGATTCTTGGATGTCAGCACTGCCCTCCACGCGGAGCTCAGCACAGAGGCTGGCGTGCAGCGCCTATCACAGGTGAGTGGGCAGCTGCCGACGCCCGGAGCCACCCCCCAGACCAGGTTCCTGAAGGAAAGGTATGAGCCGGCTCATATCACAGCGCATTTTCTATTGCTGAATTAAAGGGACCGCTGAAATCCTAAAAAATCCTAATTAAGATTTTAAGATGTTCTTTCTTTAAAACTGGACAAAAAGATTAGACAACAATACTTAGTGGCTTGTAATGTTCTGACCTACGCTTCCCCCGATGCCTCAGCCTTTCAGGAGCCACCTCAGTCATCAGACCCGGGGGCAGCACGCGGTGCTTGTGTTCACGACACCCTCATCAGACTCAGTAACAGCCCAGAGCGCAAGCAGTGATGCCGGCAATCGGGATGCACCAAAGAGAAGCTTCCTTTAAACGAGAAGCTCGAAGTTCTTGACTTAACGAGGAAAGAAAAAAAAAATCACATGCTGAGGTAGTTGCTAAGATCGTCAGTAAGACCAAATCTTCTAGGCACGCAACTATCAACAGTCTGCTGTTAGAACTGGGCCGCCTCACTATGGCTGCTAATCTCTTGCTGTATCTAACTGATAAACTAAATGTGTCACAGGAATGCTGTCTAGGAACACGGGAAGGACAGGGGTTGGCACCATCTGAATCCGCTGGCCGGCTTAGATCCCGTCCCCTGAGGACAAGGGAGACTCATCCTCCAAACACCTCCGCTCTCACTCCCAGGCTATGTCAGGAGCAGAGGGCAGGATTACATGGCTAGTAAGGTGTACTCGGGGCTGACACTTACATGGAATTCCGTCGTGTTGAGAATGTGGCGCCCGTCCGGACTCCAGCACGAGGCCACCAGCCCTGCCGAGCCCTCGTCTATTTTGCAGTGCCATTCGGGCTGCTCTAAAGACCAGACCTGGATCGAGAGAAGAGAGAAACGCACGGTGCAGACTCATCAGCAAGGCCTTGCCGAGACAGAACTCGCTTCAAACCAACAGAGCTCAAGCATACAGGGTGTCTTTTAGAATCTTCCATGATGAAGGGCTGGTCTGGATCCCACTGTAAAAGCAGCCAGGCTTCTTGGGATTTCATTTGGTGGCTGTTTTAAACCGGTTTATTCACACTGTCATTCCTGAGACCTAATTTAGTTAAGCTTTGGACATCTAAGAAAACATGACTTCTTAGGACTCCCTAAAAAAATACAACGTCCAAGTGGCTGGGCTGCTGTTTGTCAGCACCTCCCATTTCTGAACTACACTGCTTAGAAATTAAGACTATGCTAGTGTTTCCTTAGTGTAAATGTTCTCAAACTTCAGAGAACATTATAATTTTAAAAGAAACTGGTTTTCAGCTGCACTGACTTTTTTTTTTCAAACTAGAAGGGCACAGAACAAAGCCATTTCTTCCCAGTGGCACTCAGGAAGGTGTCCAGATTCAAACCGACCCAGCGACACACACCTGCACCAGCCCTCGCTTGTACATGGCGCACAGGATGAAGAGCGAGTCGGCTGACCACTCGATGTGCTGGATCTGGTCTAGGCACGTGTACAGCTGCACAATCTGAAGGGTGTTCACATCCCGGACCACTAATCGGTACTGGACACAGGAAGCCTAAAAAACACGAGAAAGCAAGCACCTGACATTCTCCGCTCCGAAAGCTGGGGGCCTTCAGTGACTGTGGCCTGCTCTCCTGCCAGACGCTTCACATCTAGATCATCAGTGACAGCTGCCGCCCCTAAAGATCAGTTCATACGAGGGTAACGTTGAAATACACAAGCCAGGTTTTTAAATTGCTATACTCTAGTGTAAAGTATAAGGGTACTTTTTAACTCGCTACTAAAGCTTTAAGATATTTTTTTTTTTTTTTTGAGACGGAGTTTCGCTCTTGTTACCCAGGCTGGAGTGCAATGGCGCGATCTCGGCTCACCGCAACCTCCGCCTTCTGGGTTCAGGCAATTCTCCTGCCTCAGCCTCCTGAGTAGCTGGGATTACAGGCACGCGCCACCATGCCCAGCTGATTTTTTGTATTTTTAGTAGAGACGGGGTTTCACCATGTTGACTGGGATGGTCTCGATCTCTTGACCTCATGATCCACCCGCCTCGGCCTCCCAAAGTGCTGGGATTACAGGCGTGAGCCACCGCGTCCGGCCCAGCTTTAAGATATTTTTAAGTCCCTTCTTAACTGTGTGTTAAAAACCAGACTTAAATGGGAAGTAGCATTGGGAAAAAGCTCTTCTGGTTATTAAAAACTAATAACCAGAACCCTCTGCTAGCTTTATCACTTTTAGGCAATTTCCTCACATTTATAAAGGGTAAGAATCAAGGCTTCACAGTTGACAATGAAAATGGCAAGGAATGCAGCAATCCTCTTACGTGGTGCCTAAGAGTCAAACCAACAGATGATCAAAAGACAGGCTCAACTTCTGCAAACATAAAGACGTGCAGTAAATGCCCATTCATCTACACTGACCTGTTCCTAACACAAAACACGAAACGCTTCAGTGTTAGCACAATTTCCTGAAAGACAGTTTCTTCAGGGCCATATTTGTTCATTATGTCCCTATCTAAGCAAATAATCTTAAATATAAATAACGTCTGAGTGCTCACCTGCTGATTGTATCTTTCACTACAGTTTCTGATTTTGAAATGTTAACTGCTTCATTAGTTTTACTTATCAAGGTCAAACTAGTTTGTGTTTTTACGAACTAATATCAAAAAAGAAATCTACATTAGTTTTCCATGGAAGAAAAGAGAGACGGGCAGGGGATTGCAGACGGAACAAGCAACTATGAAGGCACTTACTTCAGGCACTTACTTCCTCGCATTGCAGCTTTGAAAACTGTGATCAGTTACAGTGAGTTCCTTATGAATGGAACCATATAAACTCTGCTGTAAGGTATGGAAACTAGAAACATGGACCTGATCCAACCAGTACTTAGGGAAAGGCTTTCAAGAAGATGACTCCAGTAACAGATTATCACCAGGTGCTTCACAGTATTTTGACCAGAGTGTACAAACAAACAAACAAACAAAAACACCTAAGTTAGGCAAGCAAATATAATCTTTCTCCTTATAAGTCACTGACATTTTCATAAATGGTGAAAACGAAAACAAACCTCTAACTTAATTGGGGGAGCACACTGAAAAATATACCAAGACTGAGGTGCCATTTAAACTAATGAGGTTTTCTGTTTTGTAGCTGATGCTATTTTTTGTGATTTGGAATAAAACCTCTATGAAGAGGTAAAAACGAAATCTGAGAGTTAAATTCTCAAAGGCCAGACAGGGCACGGGAACGTCAGTAGAGGTAAAACTGACAAAGAATCACGACGTGTGAGTCAGTTAACAGAGGTGGTGGCTAAACAGAGAGAGGCACTCTTTTTATGAGGCATGTTTCTTCTTAGTGGCTTTCCAATGCCAATTACCCACCCCCTTCTGAGGATGTACACGACTAGGCATCCCGGTACGTACACTGTATGTGTTGAAGCTTAAAGTTATAGCTCTGTGATTTAAGCACCTTTCTGCCACCCATGGAATGAAGAGCTCAAATCCCAGCCGTGAGGACAACTATTTCCTTACCTGGGGATAGAATACTCGTATTTAAATCACTTATTGGGCACACCGTAGAGGAGAAGAGAATCAGAGGACAAGTAGAGAAGACAGCAAAGTGGCCACACCACTTCCCAGTTACGGGCAACAGAATGATCAATTTGCCTTTTGTGACAAAATAACAACCAAGAGCCAACATCTCCTGTACCCTCACCTGCCTACGCCCACCTTTCCAGGGGCAGGGAGGCTGGCACCTCCCCAGGCCCCCACCTGCCTAGGGTATCTTCCCGAGTCCCACACCTTCTCGGGACACCTGCCCGGGCCCCACACCTGCTTGGGGGACCTCCCCAGGCCCCCCATCTGTCTAAGGTATTTTCTCAAGTCCTGCACCTGCCCGGAACACCTGGCTGGGACCCTGCACCTGCCCGGGCCCCACACCTGCCTGGATACCTGCCCGGGCCCCACACCTGCTTGG